GAACGGAAGACAAGACCCTGGGTCAAAGCAAACATTGGAATTGAAACTGAGATCTCCCACATAAAGCCAGGACTTTTGAAAGAATGTAACACTAGTACAGGGGTGGGGGGGGGCAAGGGAAAAAAATCCACTGACTAGCAGAGGAAAATTAGCCTTTTACCTTGATTTCTGAGTTGGAACAAAGAATTCCCTTAAGAATTTATACACAGAGATGATGCCACACAATTGAATAAATACTATTAAGGAATTCCTAAGTCATGAAACCAACATAAAAATTAGTCCTGGGTATTTGATATTCTTAGAGTGCTTAGTCTTCAGTGAATGAAATAATGGTTTGAAGACTTACTTATCCATATGTCCCAGTCCACAAAGCAAATGTCATCAAACACTCAAGAATCTATATCATGGGCTGGGGATGTGGCTCAAGCGGTAGCATGCTGGCCTGGCATGTGTGCAGCCCGGTTGGATCCTCAGCACCACATACAAACAAAGATGTTGTATCCACTGAAAACTAACTAAATAAATAAATATTTAAAAAATTTTAAAAAGAATCTATATCATATACATATCAATAAAGTATATAAATTTGGAAACCTAAAAATCATACTACATATGTCAAAGAACAAATCACAATAAAATTAGAAAATATTTATAAATGATGATGAAATACCCTACACCAAAATTTGTGAGTGCTATTAAAACAGTATGTAATGGGATATGTATTATCTTAATAAATCTGTGGGTCTCAATGTTGGTTCTCAGACCAGCAGTTTGACCAGGAACTTCACGAGAAATGTAAATTTCAGGCCCTATCCAAGACTCACTGAATCAGAAATTTCTGATTTCTAGGGTTTAGAAATCTGTATTTAAAATACACACACACACACACACTCACACACATGTATATTTTAGTTGTAGTTGAATACAATAACTTTAATTAATTAATTTATTTTATGTGGTGCTAAGGATCAAACCCAGGGTCTCGCATGTGCTAGGTGAGTGTTCTACTGCTGAGCCACAACCCCAGCCCCTAGAAATCTGTATTTTTATCAAGAAATGATACACACTCAAGTTTGGGAAACACTCCCTGAAATGCACTCATTGAAAAAAGAGAAAGATTAATAACTTAAACATCCAACTCAAGAATTTTTAAAAAGAACACATAAAAATCAATCTAAAAGTAATAGATGGAACAAAAAAATAATATTAAGTATAGAAGTTTTCTTTACAATCTACTTTTAGTGGTTTAAATTTGATGTTAGGACCTTCAAGAGACACTGTCTTTGCTTCTAGACTCTGACAATCCCAGTTTTCCTCCAGGTTGACACTAACCAGTAAGTGGATCAGTACGAAGAAGTTGGGCAAAAAGAAACTAATACATAGAAAAATGTTCAAGATGTCTCATTACAGATATCTGGACAGATATGGATATACATTATTTTTCTAGACAGAATCATAGAAAGTGTTAAATGATTGGGGGTGGAGAGAGGTACTTGAGGGTAAGAGGATAAGATGTATTCTATTTTCAGTTTTAAAAACACTCTTATTGACTTTGAATTTCTGCTTTTATACACATATTACTTTGATTTTTTTGGGGAGGGGCTACCGGGGATTGAACTCAGGGCCATCTGATCACTGAACCACATCCCCAGCCCTATTTTGTGTTTTATTTAGAGACAGGGTCTCACTGAGTTGCTTACTAAGTTGCTTAGTGCCTTGCCAGTGCTGAGGCTGGCTTTGAACTTGTGATTCTCCCACCTCGGCCTCCTGAGCCACTGGAATTACAGGCATGCACCACCATGCCTAGCTGATCATATTTTTTCTTTCTTTCGTTTTTTTTTTTTTTTTTTTTTTTGGTACTGGGGGGTTGAACCCAGGGGTGCTTTACCACTAAGCCATATCCCAAGTCTTTTTGTTTCAATTTTTTCTTAATATTTTTAGTTGTCGATGGACCATTTATTTATTTATATGTGGTGCTAAGAATAGAATCCAGTGCCTCACACATGCTAGGTAAATGCTGTACCACGGAGCCACATTCCCCCCCAGCCCTACTTTGATTTTTAAAAGTGCTAATTAGCTTAATTGTACTGTGGAGTTAGAAATAATTTTTCTTTTTTCTTTTTTTTAATTTGGGTAATGGGAATAAACCCACACATTTATGACCATCTGATTCTGGAAAAAGGAACCAAAAACACACACTGGAGAAAAGACAGCCTCTTCAGCAAATAGTGCTGGGAAAATTGGACTTCTACCCATAGGAGATTGAAACTAGATCTCTATCTCTCGCTCTGTACAAAAAATCAATACAAAGCTGGGTGCATGCCTGTAATTCCAGAGGCTGGGAGGCTGGGGCGGGAGGATCACGAGTTCAAAGCCAGCCTTCAGCAACAGCAAGGGGCTATGCAATTTAGTGAGACCCTGTCTCTAAATAAAATATTTAAAAGGGCTGGGAATGTGGCTCAGTGGTTGAGTGCCTCTGAGTTCAATCCTCAGTGTACTCTCCCCCCAAAATCAACACAAAATGGATCTAAGGCCTTAATGTAAGACCCGAAACTTTGAAAATATCAGCGAAAAATATAGGGGAAACACTAGAAGATATGATATGCAGGCAATGATTTTCTGAATAGGACTCCAATTGCTCAGGAAATAATAGCAAGAATTAACAAGTGGAATTCCATAGAATGAAAAAGCTTCTGCACAATAGAGTGAAGAGACAGTCTATAGAATGGGAGAAAATCTTCATCAACTATTCATCTGACACAGGTTTAGTATTCAGAATATATAAAGAACTAAAAATATCCCACACCAAAAGAACAAATAATCTAATTAATAAATGGGCAAGTGAGCTGAACAGATACTTCTCCAAAGAGAAGTGGCCAATAAATATACGAGAAAATGATCAACATCTTTGGTTATCAGGGAAATGCAAATCAAAACTATAATGAGGCCAGGTGGTGCACACCTGTAATCTCAGCTACTCTGGAGGTGGAGGCAGGAGGATCATAAGTTGGAGGTCAGCCTCTGAAACTTAGTGAGATCCTGTCCCAAAATAAAAAATAAAAAGGGCTGGGGATATAGCTCAGAGATAGAGTGTTCAATCCCTGGTACTGCAAAAACAAAACAAATCAAATTAAATTAAAAAACAGAAAAGCACATTGAGATTCCGTCTCATACCAGTCAGGGAATAAAGATTCAAGGGAAAAGGAGAACTTATATACTGTTGATGGGAATGTCAATTAGTATAATCACTACGAAAAACAATATGGAATTGCCTCAAAAAACTAAAAATAGAACTACTATACAATTCAGCCATACTCCTGGGTATACATCTAAAGGAATCAAAGTCAGCATACTAAAAAAAAAACAAAAAAAGTCAGCATATTACAGAGATATCTGTATACCTATGTTTATCACAGCACTATTACAATAACCAATTGAATGAATGGATGAATGGATAAAGAAAAATCAGTAACCAATTGAATGAATGGATGAATGGATAAAGAAAAATCAGTAGGGCTGGGGATGTGGCTCAAACGGTAGCTCGCTCGCCTGGCGAGCGTGTGGCCCGGGTTCGATCCTCAGCACCACATACAAACAAAGATGTTGTGTCCGCCGAAAACTAAAAAAAAATAAATAAATATTAAAATTCTCTCTCTCTCTCTCTCTAAAAAAAAAAAGAAAAAAGAAAAATCAGTGGATTCATGCCCATCAGTGGATGAGTGGATAAAGAAAATGTGGTATATATAACCACGGTGTATTATTCAGCCATAAAGAACAAAACCATGTTTATTTGCAGGAAAATGGATGGAACTGGAGATTATCATGTTGAGGAAAATAAATGAGACTCAAAAAGACAAGTATTGTATTTTATTTCATTGGTGAAATCTTGAAAAAAAGTGACATAAGAATAGAAAGTGGACTCTTAAGGAAGGTGAAGGGGGCGGGGCGGGGGTGAGGACAAGAGGGCATTGGAAAGGTGGATATGGTCTGAGTACATTATATACATATATGAAATTTGAGTAGTATTCTATATAGTACTAGTAAAATACAACAACATGAACATGTCCCAAACCTGACCTAGGACAGATTTTTTTTTTTTTTAAATATGTAATTCACAACCTCTGGGAATAAGCACACCTGATGAAATATGCAAGCAATTTTCTGAAAAACTCTAAAGAGATTGAAGCCTTGTTCTATGAAACTCAGTCACCTAATTGTCAGTCAAGAGTCTAATTACCTTTAACCAAACATAATCTTCTTTTGTGTTTAGTCTAACAATGAGTTTGTATTTCTAGAGAAAGTCCCTATCAAAAGCAAATCTTTAAATTAGCAGGATAGAGTTTTTCCTTTGCAGGAGGATTTGTAATGAATCTTTTTTTAGTTGTTGATGGGCCTTTATTTATTTATATGCGGTGCTGAGAATCAAACCCCAGTGCCTCACACATGCGAGGCAAGCACTCTGCCATTGAGCTACCACCCGATCCCCTTGTAATGAATCTTAATAAGTAGTGATAACTAAATTTCTCGCAAATTTTAAAAACCTATCTTAAAACTTTCAAAATCCCGGGAAATACTCACTTTGGCTACTAGTATAAGGGATGAGGGTATGATGAATGACTGGGCAGCAGAACTATGGGAATAGAACGTAACCCATTCATTAATTTGACAAGTATTGAGGGCCTGCCATATGCCAGACTCAGACAAGTGTCTACTGCCAGGCACTGCTCTCGGTGCTAGATTCAAAACTGAACAAATGGAACTGCAGGAATAAATGTGCAGTTCCCATATTATCTTGCTCTTCCGACTCTTTCCGTGGGACGGTGCTTCTTTCTTCACGTGTCTTGACACGATTCTAGCTAAACGGGAAAGCCCCACCCCGTTTCCCGCCCTTTCCCCGTGTCCTCCTGGGACTACAGCTCCCATAATGCTCTCGTGGTGCACTCTTATAAGGGCGCCACCTCTCTCCGGTGCCGGGGACGACTACAGTACCCAGAATGCTTTGCTTCCCCTCCCGGGTGTTTTTGCCCCTTTCCTGGTGTGGGACGCGGTAGTGGCTAGCGGCAGTGCCAGGCCTGGGGTTGCCTGTGTCCTTCCCCGGGTCACGGACGAGGCAGCGACTTGACTCCCGGGCGCTGAGCCCGAGAGCGAGCACAGGCGACCGCCTTCCGTCCCGTCGGTTCGCGTCCTCCTTTGCTCCTTGTCCTGCTCCATCTGTGGCTGCCTGGACGGCCCGGGACTGACTGCCTGGAGTAGGGGTGACTGTCGCTGCTGCCGGGGCTAAGGCGAGGCTGCGGCCCTCGGACTGCTGTAGCGGCGGTAGTGCTAGGGAGGAGGAGAGAAGATGGCGTCGGAGCTGGAGCCCGAGGTGCAGGCCATCGACCGCAGTTTGCTGGAATGTTCCGCTGAGGAAACCGCGGGGGTGAGTGCCGGAGCCGGGTGGGTACGTTCTGCCCTCCCAGGCCGCGCCCCGGGGGAGGAACCGACTGCTAGAGGTCCCGGGGCCGCTCGTCACTGACTTGGGATAACCAGCGGCCTGGTTCTGGAGAGGCCACGAATCCTGCTTCTGTCCCCGGCAGTCCCCCGAGCTCTCCTGTGCCCCAACCATCTTTACATTCCCCTTCTGTCCTGCGAACCCACAGGGCTTCCATTATTCTTCCTTCCCCGCGCACTCCATTAAGTCTCCAACGCATGGGCCTTTGCCCTTTATACTAGCTCTTCCTAGTGCTGGGTATAATCGCTCTATCTTGTGGCCTTGATTTCCTGGTCCTGGGATAAGGGGAGCAGTACCTCCTCCACCGACGCATGCTTCCCTAACCAAGCCCCAACTTTGTTTTTATGACCACCCCAGGCACCAAGGATGCAAATACTGCTCTTCATTGCCCACTTAAGTGCTTTTTTTTGCACGGATTCAGTTATTGCAGCGTTGGTGCACATGTTGAAAGTGTTGCCTTCACCCGTGTACTGAACGTGAGAAAGTAGTAGTGGAGGCTGGGAGAATTAAAAAAACAAAAAAACCAACAAGTAGGAGTTGGGAAAAGTTGGATGGAGAACAAACGTTATATAACTTTGAAAGAGCAGATTTAGCCAACCAATACAAGATAATAGTGTGAGTTGGTTACTATAGTAGGAGCGGTTAGGCCCCAGTCTTAAACCATTTAAACTCAGTATGAGAAATGTAATATGAATATGCTAGTATAGGTAGCAGAGTTGTAAAATGATTAATAAACTCAATGGCATCCTTCCTCTATAAGGATAGGGAACACCCAGTTAGAACAGATTTTCCACAGTGATTATCAAATGGGCCAAAACAACCTGGGCTCCACTTCCGAGGCCTCCAATTTAAAAAGCTTGTAGGAATGTTAGGAACAAAACTTGGTAGGGGGGTGGGTGCTCTGTGGAGCCCTTTGGTCAGTGAATAGTTATTTTGAGTGAATTAGAGCATCAAAGTCTAGGTGGAAATAAATGACAGGAGTAGAGGTAAAAAGTTTAAAGAAATACTTTGTTGAATTATGAGTCTGCATGTTTTAAACTTTTTAGTCTCATTTACTTTCTACTTCATTATTGCACAACTCAAGGAGTTTCGGCCTCCATCTGTCTTTCATTAATCAAAGAGATTTGAAAAAGAAAATGAAAGTGGTGTTACAAGTAAGCAGGAAAATAATAAAAATAAAATAATAAAAAGCTCTTCACTATCTATGTCTCTTCTAATTAATATCTAATCTATTTTTTTCTCATATTGTTCCCCCTCCACCAGCTCCAATTTTATGTCTGTTAGTGCAGACTGCATCTTCCATTATCCCTATTCTAAAAGTGTGGGCTACCAGGTGATTAGAGGTCTCCAGATTGTTTAGGGAGCCAGCTATAAAGCCAGTACTGGAAGCCAGTGCTCTCAGTTCTTATGCAGTGAATTCTCAAGCAGTTATATTGGGGAAAACTAAGGGAAATGCAACAAAACATTAATTTATACTTAATTTGAGTCTGTGAAGACCACAATATGAGCTATATTTTACTTTTTGCTCTCTTTACTCTCATGTGACTTTCAAAATGGTTTTACCTATTTAAAAAGTGTAGTTTGAGGGCCAACAAAATTCCTTTAAATAAAGAAGATGGAAACAAATATTAAAGATATAATATTCCTCCAGCTATATAACCTTAGCCTGGCATTATTTTGTGAGGGCTTACTGTCTGTATTTAGTTAAAAACACCCAATACTTAAAGCCATTCTTTAGCTTAGGTTCTAGCACAACCCTGTGTCACAAGTGGAAATATACTGATAACATTCTTTGTTATTAAAAGTAAATTTTAGAGAATATAAAAAAAATAGTGAAAGTGCTTCCTATAGGCTTTCAACCTCTATTATTGATAATTTATTAGGATCACTTCCATTTAAAATTACCTAGTGCTCCTTGATCTTTACTACAGTTTTTTAATCACTGTTTTCTTCTCTTAAGAGGAAGAAAGACTTTGTGATCCCATCTATTCCACCTATTGTGCTTCACAAAAGCATTTACTCTAGTTATTTTGAGTGAATTGGTGAGGACACCAAAGTGCAGATGGACAATAATAATATCCTAAAATTACAGTGGCCCTCAGAAGAGACCTAGTTTCTTTTTCTTTGTGAATTCTATTCCAGTCTGACTTTCCCAGCACTTCTTGACTCTGTCTACATTTCATGCCACATATTGATTATAGTGTATTTCATTGAATGATTATGATTTAAGAAGTACACATATTTTATTTCTCCCCAAGTATAAAAGAAATACAGAGGCTGGGGTTGTAGTTCAGTGGTAGAGCGCTTGCCTAGCAAATGTGAGGCACTGGGTTCAATACTCAGCACAACATAAAAATAAATAAGTAAAACAAAACTATTGTGTCCATCTACAACTAAGGAAAAAAAAAAAAGAAATACAAATTCATTTTAGAAGTTTTATGTAGAATACTATGTCTTGCCAGGCAGGGTGGCAAATGCTACTAATCCTAGTGACTTGGGAAACTGAGGCAAGAAGATCACAAGTTTGAGGCCAGCCTGGGCAACTTAATGAGACTGTCTCAAAATAAAAAATAGAAAAGGCTGGAGATGTACCTCACTGGTAGAGTACCCCCTGCATTTAATCTCCTGCACCACAAAAAACTATCAGTTATTTTTGGCTTTAAAAATTTAAACAGTTTTATGGTATAATTCACATACTGTTCAAATCTATTCAGGGGTTTTTAGTGTATTCATAGAGTAGTATAACCATCACCACAATCAATTTTAGAATATTTTTATCATCCCCCCCCCAAAAAAATAAATCATGTACTCTACACTCCCAAACTCTGAGCAACTACTAATAGATTTATAGATTTGTCTATTCTTGACATTTTATAATAATGAAATAATGCAGTGTGTATATGTGTGTGTGTGTGTGTGTGTGTGTGTATAGTGTGGGTGTGTGAGAGAGCATGAGAGTGGCTTTTCTTTTTTTTTTCAAATGTTTATTTTTTAGTTGTAGTTGGACACAATACCTTTACTTTATTTATTTTTATGTGGTGCTGAGAATCGAACCCAGGACCTTGGACATGGTAGGCGAGTGCTCTATTGCTGAGCCACAACCCCAGCGCCCCACCACTCTTTAATATTTATTTTTTAGTTGTAGTTGGACACAATACCTTTATTTTATTTATTTTTATGTGGCTGACTTTTCTTTTAGCAAATTTAAATCTGTCCATGTTGTAGCATGTATTAATACTTCATTCCTTTATATTGCTAAATAATATTCTGTTTTATGAAATGTACCAAATTTATCCATTCATTAAATTTATCCATTCATTAAATTATAGATATTTGGGTTATTTCCATTGGTGATATTTGTAACATGATGCTATGAAAATTTGTGTTAAAATTTTTAAAATTTTTTTGTGTAATTATTTTAGTTTCTTTTGGCTGTATACCTACCAATGGAATTGCTGGGTCATATGATAATTACTCTTTTGAGGAACTGCCACTGTTTTCCAAAGCGGCTGCATCAATTTACATTCCTACCAGCAATGTGTGCAGGTTCCAATTTCTCCACATCCTTGCCAACATTTGTCTGTTTTTTTATTATAACCATTCTGTTGAATGTGAAGTGCTTTCTTGTTGTGCATTTTCCTCAAAACTCATGATGTTGAGCATATTTTTGTGAGGTTATTAGCCATTTTCCTGATTTTCTTTACTCACTTTTAAGTTAGGCTTTTTGTCTTTCATTATTGAGTTTCTGTATTAATTATTTTTAGCTGTAAATACTCTCCTTCATTTTTAGATCGCTTAATATAACTTATTCAAATTTTTTCCTTTTTTTTGATATTTATTTTTTAGGTGTAAATGGACACAACACAATGCCTTTATTTTTATGTGGTGCTGAGGATCGAACCCGAGTCCTGCTGAGTCCCGCCTGTGCTAGGCGAGCACTCTACCGCTGAGCCATAATCCCAGCCCTCAAATTTTTTCTTAATATTGTCCCAAAAATTTCATAGGAGCACTATGATTGTTGTCATTAAGTCCCATGTTGCTTATCCTTGTTTGAAAACAAAATCAAATACGGTTAAAGGATACAATTTTAATAGGTGATAGAATAATAATTAGATACCATAATAAAAAGGCTACCCCCTAGGGATTCTTTCATTTTTGTGTTTGTTGTACTTGCTCTCTCTAAGGCTTAACTTTAGCGTTCAGTAAAAGGAAGGCTTCTGGAAACAGTCATAACATGTTTACTTTAATGGAATGAGTTGACAGTTTCTTTACTTCCCTATAGGGGACTTAGAAGATAGCAAATGTTTATTAGTCTTGTGCACTTGGATGTGACAGCTGCAGGTTATCTGAAAGACAAATTAAAATGTAGCCAAATTAGAAATCTTAATTTTTCCTTCCAAAGAAACAGTTAGCCTATGTTAGTGAGAACTAATATGAAAAGCTATAGATTTTATTCTTTGGAGCAATGTGTGAGCCATTATTCTGAAAGTCAGTTTAAGTTATTCCTTATATATGAAATATGTAAGTTTAATCAGGTGAGGGTGCTTGTAATATGGCTCAGATCTGTTATATGTTTTTTAATTTTTCACATAATAGTAGTAAACTTACTAAGACAGGGAGCATATGCCTTTGTTTCTTGAGCCAGGTTTTTAATAATTTATAATAATAAGGGGTAGAACTGTGGCTCAGCGGTAGAGTGCTTGCGTAGCACATGCGAGGCTCTGGGTTCAATCCTCAGAACCACACACACACACACAATAAATAAAATAAAGGTATTAAAAATAATATATATAATATGATATTTAAAGTGAATTTTTTTTACTGTGTTTTATGTAAGGTAGCTATTCTTTTTTTTTTTTTTTTTTTTTTTAACCAAGAGCTAATATTTGCTTCTAAATTTTTTATTGAAGAAATCTTTGAACAAATTTGACCGCTCTTATATCCACAAAATACCATAACTTACTTTTGGGAGCATTTTAGTCTCCTTGGATTAAAATTCTATGAAGTTTTAGGGGAAATAGATACATAAAATTATAAGGAAAATAAAAGTTGTATTTTTAATAAAACCTGTGATTGTATTGTAAATCAAAATTGAATTCTTTCAGGGCTGGGGTTGCGGCTCCGCGGTAGAGCACTTGCCTTGCACGTGGGAGACCCTGGGTTCCATCCTCAGCACCTAAAAATAAATAAGTGAAATAAAAGTAAAAAAAAAAAAAATTGAATTCTTTCAGACATTGCTTAATATTTCATTCATAAAGAATAAATTGTGTAGGATAATTTGATCACTTTTATTCATATTTTGGTTTGGTGACAATGGGTAAAAAATTGGGTTTATTCTTGGATGTGACCAACAGAAGTATCTCTTAGCTCAGTAAAATTCTGTTTGCTTGTTGATAACTCTTTGCCTTATACTTTTTTTAGAAAAAAACTTGTTTTTTAAAAATAATTCTTGGGGGCTGGGGATGTGGCTCAAGCGGTAGTGCGCTTGCCTGGCATGCGTGCGGCCCGGGTTCGATCCTCAGCACCACATACAAAAATGTTGTGTCCGTCAAATACTAAAAAATAAATATTAAAAAAAATTCTCTCTCTCTCTCCCCCTCTCTCTCACTCTCTCTTTAAAAAAATAATAATAATAATTCTTGGGTTTTAAATATATGTGATTGTGTTTGGGAGAGAGAGTGAGAAATATGGATTTGGAGCCACTTTATAAAGGCAGCAAATCCTTAGAATTTTGGGATTCTATCTCCCAAGAAATGCTGTTGTTTTAAAAGTGATTTAATTTCTTTTCCTACTTGCGTAAACACAAAAGCTAGTAGAGTTTGGGACAGTGTTTGGAAAGTACAATTTCACTTTAGGGGTGAAAATTGTTTTCAGATGAATGCTTCCATGCAGTCCCTTAATGAACAAAATTTTTAGTAAAAGTTCTCTGAAAACATGAAATTGCCTAGAAAGTTAATATGTATTACCTCATGAATATTTTATTTATGTAGCATCAAACTACATGAATTTAATATAGTGAAAACACACTCTTCCAAGTACACAATTTCTTAGCAAATTATTTAGCAGTTGAAATGACAGTGCCACCACTTCTAGGTTCTTGTCTTAGTCCTGTAGGACTTTGTCTTAGACCTTTTGTGCTGCCTACAGAATACCTGAAACTGGATCATTTATAAAGAACAGAGATGTGTTTCTTTCATTTCTGGAGCCTGGGAAGTCTTAAGATGAAGAGGCCCATATCTGGCAAGGCCTTAGTGCATGGCCAGACTCATTCTTTTTTCAGGAATCCACTCAAGTTAGCTAACCCATACTGTGATAATGACAAAATTAATCCATCTATGAGTGCAGAGCCCTCATCACCGAATCACTTCTTTTTTTAAAAAAATTGTTCTTTTTAGTTATATATGACAGTAGAATCTATTTTGATATATTAATACATAGAATATATGTATTAATATATGCATAGAATATATCTTATTTTAATAAGATCCCAGTCCTCATGAATATTTTGAATCTTTCTTTGTATGTTTTTAGAAGGAAGGAGGCTGAAGATAATGCGAATAATAGTTAAAGCAAAAATGTTATGTTGATTTCATCTGGTGTTAGTTATCACTTGTACATAATTTTTTTAATCAAATGTAATTGGAATTTAGGTAATCCATAGGCAAACATTGGATCTGTGAATTGTGTTAGCAGTTCAGGTAACTACATTTTAGTAGAAGTGAGTTATTTTATTTCATGTTTTCTGATTTAAAATTTTTACTTGGCTTAGAGCCAAAATGACTTATAAATTACACAAAGCAGAATGGAGAGCAAATAAGCATCAACACAGTTGGCAGAGGAGATGGGAATAAATGACAGAATAAAGGGAAAGGAAAGGAAGTGGTTTGAACGATGCCTTGTCTAGGGCTTATTTGGTTTAGTTTTTAGAGACATATCTGATCAATACTGCAGGCATGGATTTTTACTTTCTCTGTTTATATTAAAGCCACATGGAGCATCTTTCTGGAATGTTAGGGTTATGTGACAATAAATAGTATAAACATATTTACAGTCATTCACTTAACAGTTTTGCTAAATGCTCATGGAGGCCAGGCTCTATTTTAGACCTGGGGTCATGGGGAAAGGAGGTAGGGATGGGAAATGGGCTGAGAAGATGAGTTATAGGAAGTGAAATAAATTGAGATCTGAAGAATGAGTAGAAAATAGCTTTGTAAAGCAGAGAGGGAGAGGAGTAAGACAGGGCAGGAGAAGACTGAGATAGAGCGAAAACAAAGGACTTTGTTAGGGATGTCAGGGGATTTTTGACTCAATCTTAAATGTAACTGGGAAGCTGAATGACAGAATCAAATTGGTATTTTGGAAAAATTACGGTGGTAGTAAGGTTAGAAAATTAACTGCAGGGAGGACAAGGCTAGTGGAATATTGTTGTACTATTCCTGTTGATGAGGACAAGGGGTTTGGACTAGGATGTAGTAGAGGTGGTAGCTGTGAAGAAACAGAATCAAGAGATATTTAGGAAGCCTAGTAGTTAACAAGACAGGATGATTGTTTGGATATAGAGGTGAGAACTTAGGAAGATTTTCAGGTTTTTCTGGTTTGGATATCTTGGTAGATGCTAAATTAGGGAAATGGGGAAGAATAACAGATTTTGGTGGGGGAGGGGGTATTATGAGTTTAATTTTGGATATATTGAGTTGATGCCTGTATAATATCTAAGTTTAATTGTAATAGGGTGGTGTGTGTGTGTGTGTGTGTGTGTGTGTGTGTGTGGTTTTTGTTTGTTTGTTTGTTTTTTGGTTTTAGAGGTGAGAGCAGGTTGATCATGTTTTTATAGAGAGGTTGATAAGGAAAATTGAGAGAACAAAGACATTTGTGGACTGACATTCATAAGAGATTTTTATATGTACTTTTTTTTTTTTGTATTTTTTGGTACTGGGGATTGAACCCAGGGGCCCTTAACCACTGAGCCAAGTCCTCAGCCCCCACCCCCTTTTTAAAAAAAAATTTGAGACAGGTTCTTGCTAAGTTGCTGGAACTGGCCTCAAATGTAAGATCCTCCTGCCTCAGCCTCCTGAGTCATTGGAATTACAGGCATGCGCTGCCACACCCAGGTTACAAACTTGTTTATTAATCAGTGAGAAATATAACTTGTGTATTGGCTATTCATGTTCACTACATGCTCTTCCTGTAAGCAAATTGACATGAGAATCCACACCACAGAATAACATTTGAGCAAAGTATTAGAGAAGAAGTCAGATGTACTTTATGACTAGTGTCATGTAAGAATTTCTTGTGTTTATTTTTGTATTCTTCCTATACAATTTTGTTTCAAGAGTCATTTTAAGGGCAGGGGTTGTATCTCAGTGGTGGAGCGCTTGCCTTGCACATGTGAGGCACTAGGTTTGATTCTCAGCACCACATATAAATAAATAAAGGTAATGAATTTAAAGCAGCTGGGGATGTGGCTCAAGCGGTAACGCACTCTCCTGGCATGCGTGAGGCCCGGGTTCGATCCTCAGCACCACATACAAACAAATATGTTGTGTCCGCCAAAAACTGAAAAATAAATATTGACATTCTCTGTCTCTCTCTCTCTCTCTTAAAAAAAAAAAAAAGGTATTGAATTTAAAAAGTCATTTTTAAACAAAGGGTTTGCTTTATTTTAATTTTACTTAGACTTTGAAGTAGAATTCGAAAACACTTGGCATTTTAATAGATTGTTTCTAATATACATTGATGAGTGTTATAAATAAGATTTATTATTTTTGTACCCAAAAGAGAGTTGGGTGTAATTGTTCGAATTAGCAGTTTATTGACATTGTTTATTTTGTTCTCTTTTTTTAAAGAAATGGCTTCAAGCAACTGACCTCACTAGTGAAGTATACCAGCATTTAGCCCACTATGTACCCAAAATATACTGCAGGGGACCCAACCCTTTTCCACAGAAAGAAGACATGCTGGCACAGCATGTTTTGTTGGGACCAATGGAATGGTACCTCTGTGGTGAAGATCCTGCATTTGGATTTCCAAAACTTGAACAAGCAAACAAACCTTCTCATCTTTGTGGTCGAGTTTTTAAAGTAGGAGAGCCTACGTACTCTTGCAGGTAAAATATGATAATTTTCTTCCAGAAGACTTGTTTTTACTTTGCTGCTTCTTTTTTCCTGAAACCTTAAAATTTGTATTTTAAAATTTTAAATATAATATGTACATTTACAAGTCCATACCAGATACCTATTGTTTAATAAATAATTATAAAATATTCACATAATTATTTTTCAGATCAAGAACCAGATTGTTAACCAGCATTCCAAAAGTCCACTGTGTGCTTTCTTCCTCCTCCAGAATTAACTGCTATCTTCACTCTTGCAGTAATTACTTCCTTAATTTTCTTAATATTTTTAGTTACAATGGTTTCTTTTTTATGTTCAAATTGTTCTAAATTTGGCTAGTGGGAGCCCCACCATACTCGATTCTTTGTCATGTCTCCATTCATTTTTTGTGTGCTTTTTTCCTTTCTTGCACAATAATACGTCCATAACTCACTTTGTACTTAATTCTGACCCATATGTAATGTCAATCATCTCTCCAAGGAATTTCCTTTTGGTTAGGAATAAACTGAGACTTTGGTGTTATATGTACGTACTGCTACAAAGAAGACTTCACTTTAAAAAAAAAATGCTAAAAATTGAATATACAAGGGTAGAAAAAAAACAAAATGCCGTGACCCCCTTTTAAGTATCTATTCCTATTTTCCAGAACTAATCATTGTTAACTGTCTTATGTATCCTAGAAATTTTCTGTGTACATATCAACCCATGTACATGGCTATCTTAACACATACACACAAAAGAGAGTGATACATGTGTTAGGCTAAATTTTTCTTTCTCTGTTTGACAAAAGCCTGACATCTTTCCATTTGGCTTATAATATTTAGCTAGATAATATCCCATTATGTGGATGATTGACCACAGAAATTATGTGTTTCAGCCCTATCATGTGGCATATGATTTTGTTCTTTGACTGTGATGCTGATTCGTGGGTTAAGGAGATGTCTACAAGACTTCACTATAAATTTAATTTTTCCCTATGTAATCAATAAGTATTTTGTGGAAATGGACTCTTTTTTAATATTTCTTTTTAGTTGTAGTTGGACACGACACCTTTATTTTATTTATTTATTTTTATGTGGTGCTGAGGATCGAAACCAGTGCTTCACATGTGCCAGACAAGCGCTCCACTGCCAACCCCCAGCCCCAGGAATGTACTTTGTGACTAGTAAATACCTTCTTCCATTCCAAACTTTCAGGGTTTTTTTGTTTGTTTGTTTTTTTGATTTTGGCAATGCTTGGGATCAAATCTGCAATTTACTTATTTATATCAGTATCTATTCATACAGTCCCGTTATTCTTAAGCTTAAATTGTCCTAGATTTGGCCAGTAGGAGCCCTTTTATGATGTCTTTGTTGTTTTTCATAACCCCATTATGCTTTGAGCTTTTCTTTCTTTCTGGCACAATATCGCAACCTAGACACATCTTGGATTTTTTTGCTGTCCAAGTCCTCAAATCAACCATTTTGCAAAAAGCCTGGTTCCTTTTAGTGGACAGTGATTTTTAGAAGTAAGATGATAGTTGTGCTTGTTGTTATGGGGATGTCACTACTCATAGGCCCTCTCAATGGACCTACATTTATTTTTTATGTATCTATATATACATATTAAAATAGATATTTAAAACCATGTATTTATAGTGATCTCTCTAGTTCTAATCCAACATTGCAAGTTCTTCATACTATGTTTTCTCCCCTTGTATATTTGTAACTTCTCCTACCTCCTATTAGGGTAGATCCATAATAAGACTTTGCTCCAGTATACGTAGTTCTTACTCCAAGACATGACCTTTCTGTTGTCTTAGCTAGATATGTATCTTGGCTATAACTCCAAAGCCCTCCAGTCCTGCTTGTTAGACTTCAGGTATCTTTTTGGTACTATCAATTCCACAATAGCCATTCTCTGGGAAACCTGAATCATTTAGCCCAACCCTTAACCAAATACTTACTTACCATTCTTACCTACCTTTCCCCATGCTGAGCCCATTCCACCACCTCTCTGGTCCCCTGACTCAGAGTTGAGCTATTTTATCTGTGTCAAAGTCTGATTTAGTCTCAGCCCAGTGAGGTCTTCTTGCTGTGTTCAGACATTAATTAGCTCTCTATATCATAGGCACAGGTGGGAAATTACCTTCTCAGTAAAAGTCAGGGCCATCCTGGGTATCACTTTATGAATTTCCCTCCTCTTAGTTATTATAGTCTTGTGCTGCCTCATGTATTTTGTCTTGTGTTATGATTGTTTGTAGTAGGTGATGGCGTGGGGAGTAGTTTATTACCAATTGTTCTGTCATATCCAGAAGAGGAAGTTCTGACTTCATTTCAACAAATGGAAATTGCTTATGCTTCCTGAGCATCTTCTAAACATCAGATTTAACACTAATAATTTGGTATGCAGTCATGCTTAATCTTTCTATAGCCTCCAAAATAATTAATGTTTTTGAGGAAACTGAGGCTCAGAGTGGTTAAGTGACTTACCTGCAGTCATAAAACCTGAAACGAGGTCTCTTGATATGAAGGAAATTGCGAACTCAAACTCAGTTGTTATTTCTGCTGGTGTATACTCTCAAAATATGGAGATTTCTCCCCACAAGCAAGCAGGCATGCTATAATTTCTGCAGCAGTGAACACCAGCTGTGCATCCTCTAATGTAATTCACTTCTGACACTTCCCAGAAATAAAGTCAGATCCTCTCTTACGAACCTCTTGCCACTTAATGTTTTTCCTTGGGATTCTTTTAACCTTATGCTCAATATTCAGGAATTCTGTTAGTCCCAGGAATCCCATATATGTCTGTTGGTGAGTCTATCCTTGAGGAGAGACCTACCAGACTGCTCCCTACTTCAGATGCCTGGCATGATTTTGGATCCTCCAAAACTTCTGACCAACTGGCTACCAGTGGGTGTTCACATGACTCTTTGCATGGGTTCAATAAAATTTCTAGAGTATCTCACAGAACTCCAACACATTTACTAATTTATTATAAAAGATATTACAAAGGTTACAAATGAAGACGTGTTTAGGGCAAGATGTGCAGAAGCTGTCCTCTGTGGATATGTACTTTCAAGTGTTCAGCTATCTGGAAAGCCTCTACACTGTCCTTTTGGGTTTTTTAGAAACTTCATTGAATAAGCATGATTAAAGCATGGACAACCTTGTAGAAATGTGATTGGACAAAAAGGGGTTTTATTTAATGCTAATAATAGACTGGGGGTGGGGCACCAGCAAAGCTTGTCTCTTCAGATTCTTCTTGACCCCTGTGTAGCATTCCTTCCTCCCAGACACCTCTGGAATGGGGGACTTAGGATCTGTTATCAGAGAATTTCTTTATAGCCAGCTCCAAGACAGAAAGACAGAAGAAGATTAGAGTGTATTTTTAGTTTCTGTGACCCAGTTTGGGGAAGAAAAAAAGAGCAGATGAAAGGAGGGCAGGAGACCTTAAGTACCCTAATATTATTTAAGTCACTTAGGAAATAACAAGATCTGTGGTAGTGATGAACCAGGAACTATGGATAAAAACCAAGACTTGTATGTCATAATATCACAACAGGCTTCTCTGACTCTAAAATCCATGTTCTTTTCACTTTACCTCTTTTATTCTCAGATATTGGTCATTGTGAATTTTTTACTCGTACACAGTAAGATGAGAAGAATGGACTGAATTTTTCTTGCAATTAAACTTAATTTTTAGAAATGTCCTCTGTTAAAAATGTGATGACAACCAGAAAAAAAAATTAGCCTTTTCTTTGACTTTTCTACTGGTTGGGCACTGCTGTATAGTACCATTCTGATTCTTAAAATCAAGTTGTATTGCAATACTGACTTCTGTACCAAAAGTATATGCAAAGAATATTAAATAAAAATCATATTTGGGCTGTAGAAAGAGATGTTGGTGACTCATAATCATGGACTTGGTCTGAATCCTTCTCTTAAATTATCCCCAGTTAGACTAGTCTGTAATCTACTATTTCCCAGTTGCAGAAGTGTAGTATATGTAAAGTGCTTCAAACATGTTAGGTACTCAGCAAGTATTTGTTGAGCAATGTCTGTTTTGTTATTAGAAGTACAGGGCACAGTTTTAAAAGATGTTATTTTGCAGTTCCTAGTTTAAATTGATTTAGTATTTCTATTAGTTGTACATTTCCATGCTTGTCCAGTGGCAATGTTATATTTACATGTAAACCAGCTATTTTTTAGGTTGTTATTTGTGATTACATACAGGGAAATCTTCATTATTGTGGCTTTTACAACTTAATTGTTTAGCTTTTGATCCCAGCCAGTTAATAAGACAGCTATTGCTATAGGGAGCAGAATATTAATCTCTCTTAGGAACATATTGTCACTTCATTTTTTTGAGGGGGACTTTCTTAACCTTAGGTTCAATATTCAGGAATTTTGCTAGTCCCATATGTTTCTGTGGGTTCATCCTAGAGAAGAGATTGGGTGTAGGGAGAACTTACTATTTGATTGTTTCACAGAGTAACCTTGATTAAATTACCTGAGTCTTGGGATCTTCCAGAAGTAAGAAGAAACTCATTTTCAACAGCAGTAGTAAAATAGGTTTTTGGGAGTTTGGAGAAGGGGAGTGAATGGCAGAAAGAGGAATATGTTTATTCCCTCAGTGAAAAGGATATATCACAGTAACTTTTTGCTTATAATTAAAGCTTAACTGTGCCTCAAGAATTGGTGGGTGAAACTGAGTCAGAGATGGTCTTAATAGATTTTTCTTGTATTAGATGTTTGGGGATTTGAACCTAGATATGTCATTCTGGGGTTTCTCTGAGATACAAACTAATTTCACTGGAATCTGGAAATTGGGTAATCTATACCATTCTAGGCCTTTTTTTTTTTGTCCTGGAATTGAAGCCAGGGGTGCTTATCCACTGAGCCAAAGTCCCAGCCCTTTTTTGTATTTTATTTTGAGACAGGATTTCACTGAGTTGCTTAGGGCCTCACTAAGTTGGCGAGGCTGGCTTTGAACTCTGAATCCTCCTGCCTTA